GGAGGGGGCTACAGGGTGGTGGTGGGGCTACGGCCCCTCCAAAATTTGCCATAGCCCCCCAGCCCTGCCCTCCGCTCCCAGTATCGTCACGTTCTGCCCTGAGAGCAGCCTGCCAAGCCCCTGTCAGGAAGAGCCCTACGCAGCCCTGGCCCCAGCCTACCCTGCACAGATCTGGGAGCACCCCCCCGCCCTCCCGGGATGTGCGCAGCAGTGGGAGCTGCCCCTCCTCCCTTTGTGCCCTCCGGACAAGCTGTGGCTCTGTCCTGTGTCCTGCTTTGCCTCCCCCTGTCCCAACTGGGCAGCACCTGCCCCAACTCCAATCCTGCTCCCTCCCTTACCTCAGGAACCTTGATCTGCACCCCCAGTCCCTTTCCTTCCACCACACCAGACTTACCAGCTGCATGCAGCTCTCTAAGCTGCTGGGTTATGCTCCTCACTGCCTAAGTTCTACTCTGTGGCTGCGTGCATGTATGAGGCATTTATCATTATCGGCCACATCAAGCTGATTTCTGATGCAGTTAATTTTCTTTATATTGACACTGAACCAATATTGGACCGATGTATCAGAGTACCTCTACCTACAAACTAAAATTCAGATGATACTTGGTATAAGTAACTTCCACTGAAAGATGTACAGTATGTGAGTTCCTGCTTATGGCTATTAGAATCTGCTACATCATAGTTGGTATACTTCAGCTATTACTGCAGGCATCCATTGGTTTTAATCAGTTACTTGGAAACTTTTATCCAAGAGAATTTAACAGTATTTTAGTTTTCTAAACTTTTTTTAATGTTAACTTGCAGGTGGATACAAGCATACAGATGGCAGATAACAGGTAAGTTGGACTGCTTTTATTCTGTATCTGCTTTAAATTAATATTGCCCCTTGCTGGAAGTTTCCAGATGTTACTTTCTTAGGTAAAGATAACCTTGCTAAACCTGGATAAGCAAAAAAATAGCATAATGTATGACATTTTGGGGTTTCCCAGGTTAGAACAAATGATTCATAGAATGAAGTATATTGAAAAACTATCTTAGTTTATCTTTAGTTATGGGAATGCCCATTTTAAAGATGGTCAACAGAGTAGTTCAAGTAGTAGTGCTAGCACTTTTCAGCTTGTTGGTAAAATACCTTGCTGTCGAGGTTATTTGTTTTGGGGCTTTTAAATAAAAAACAAAACAAAAAAAACTGCCACGCTGGTTGAAATTAGGGCGTTCCTTTCCAGTTAGAGGAAAGTACTGACTGAAGGTTAGACTTTCACTCATTTCTTTAGAAACTCTTTTTAATGATCAATGCAAATCTGGTTCTGTGTGGGTTTGGCAACCAGAATGACTCCTTCGTCTAGGTACCAATAAATCTGTTAATAAATGATTAAGGAATAACAAAGGATTGCAAAGCTGATGCTCTAATTTTACATTTTATATTTCATGTAAATACCCATGTTTGTGGTGGTAAGGCATGGTGCAATATAAGCATCAGAACACACTGCCATGAGAAATTTGCATCTAGTTGATGATAGAAGAAAGTTGGTTGTGTTTTTTTTTTTTAAGTTGTAGTTGTACTTGCTTCTCTCTCGTTTGAACTTGGAGTGAGTTTAGAGAGTAATTTCAGCAATTTTCAAATTCTGCTGCATAAACTACAGGTTGCCTAGGAATTATTTGCTGACCATTCAAATGGTGTGGCCTTGTTATTGTATCCATTAGCTAAATTTTATTAAAGCCTGCTAAAATACCTCTCTTGTCTTGTATCATTTACTCTGTAAACAGTTGCTGTAGTTGTCAAAGGGTGCTAGTAAGCCACAGCATGGATAGGTGTGAAGGTGGTCTGCAAAATTTTCCTCTAATAAGAAAATGTGTGAAAAATAGAAGAACCCTTAATAGAGAACAGTCTGTATTGTGCAAATCAACAGCTTTTGTTTATTTTGGCCTACCCTCTGTGTTCTTGAGACCCTACTTTGCTGGGGAATTTGAAGGACTTTTACAACCAGCGTACCACCCAGAGCGAGAGTTGTTGGGATTTGGGGTTTTTTTTTAAGGTTATCTTTTTATAAGGATAAACCCTGACTTCAATTTTGAATAATTTAAAATACATTTTCAAAATAATCCCAAAACTAATATAGGCATTGGTACATGCCTGTCTCGAACTCTAGATATCTGAGGGGTGCTATTGCTGTTATAATTCACTATCCTAGAGATATTTTTGGTTAATCCGTTTATCCGTATTGTTGTGCAAAAAGTCTTGTTTTACAAGGGCAAAAGTGGTCTGTGGATTTCAGCTGAACTGCTCCTGGTCTTCATTTTCTTGTAACCTCCTATTTTCTTGGCTCAGGTAGACTTTGTTTCACCAATTCTGTAACAGTTTGAGGTCCTGTGCTCTTTAAATAAGAGCTGTCATGTCCTGTTTTTTTCCAAATTTGCCATTTTCCTTGGCTTTTATAGAAGGAAGCCATATCATGGTCTCAGAGATCACTGATCTTTGTAACTGAAAAGATGGAGGCACCTTGTGACAGACTTTCACTGGGGGTGAAGTACTACTGGTTTTCCAAAGCTCTTGGATTCTTTACGGATGTGGAGAATGTGGTCTGTCTATCTTGCTTGAAGTTTTGTTTTTGAAGAAACCAGCACAAAAATAGATCTCTAATCATGGTGGTTTGTAGTCCACAATACTTGTAGTGGAATTTAATTTATTGCTGTGAGAACCTGCAATTCCCCCTTTTCTCTAACTTAATAAACGTGCAAGATGAAAGGAAATGGCTTCCATGCTGCAAGAGAGGTAATTGCATCAGAGTAGTGTTCTGATGGGACTAGTTAGAGTACTGATTAGAGACCATCTGTCAAAGCGCTGTAGCTGAGGAAAGGAGCACTTTCCTTGGATTACCCAGCTGCTCACCCCATGGGTAGGTTTGGTGGGATTCACCTAGGTTGGGTTGGGGGAGCCATGGCTATGCCACCTGCACACTGCTGCTTTGGCAGCAGCTCGGGGGGGATGCTGCAGGAGCTGGGACCATGCGTGTAAGGCTGTACTGGAAGTTGGGGGTATGGCTTTTGGAAGCTGGGAGCCTGGTATCACCAGTTGGTCACTCTGTCTGGGTCCCAGCTCAGCAGAGGGTGCCAAACTCCCAGTGCACCCAGCCTGGCCCCTGCAGGATCAGGGCTGGATGTGCGAGTGGTGCCGCTGGGACCCAGCCACTGCTCCCATGCTGCTGGGAGGGGTTGGAGGCCATGGTTGTCAGGGGGTCAGGCTACCCTGCCACCAGTGCCCACCAGACAGGGCTCACCCCCTAAGGGGCCACAGGGAGCTGTTTCCCACCCTGGGCTGGGTGGCTGCTGCCTCTCCCCATGTTCCCAGAGCTCCAGAGTGCTACTGTCCTCTTCTGGTCTCTAGTTACATTTGTCATGCCTGGCGGTTTAAACCTGCACTAATAATTGTGTGTGGGGGGGAGTTCTAAATTTTACTAAATTTCCTGCCCCCCACACCCTTAATCATGCTTAATCCTGAAAATGTGAATAGATAAAAACTGAAAGAAATGCTTAAAAATAAACATGTCTTTTAGCCGCTGAAATTATTAAAACAATGCCATAAAAATAGGAGTTAGTAAGTCAGAGAGAAATGGCCCAAAAAAGAAAAACTGGGGACCTCAAATATCCGTTTTTTTGAAATGGGAATATAAAAAGCAGCTTGGACTAGGAATTGCATCTGAATACATTCATTACTGATACAAATTGGTGTGGAAATGGCAGCTGACAAACTGTGGAATAATAGTATCTATCTCTTTTTGCCCTCCAGTCACAGACTCTGTATTTGTGATGCAGGAAAAGAAAATGAGCCTTGGGCATGTACATGTCCCAGGTACCTGCATCTGCTTCTCCAGGGGAGACTGGCTACAACTCAGTGTTTGTTCAGTACATGTAAAAATTTCTGTCTCCAAAATTAGGTGCTGACTATATAGCTCCCTTGGTTACTCCGTGTAGAAATCAAGCTAGTTCTTTTCACTCAGTCATCTAAAGACACTGATGACCAAAAAAAAATCCTGTAGTGCAGTGATTCTCAACCATGGTCATGCATCACTCTGGGATTCCTTGAGATCCTTTTGTGGGTGCCATGCAGTGTTAGCACTGTTAGATATGCAAGCGTGTTTCATGAAATAAACCTAGAGATGTCCAACAGGAATCCATCGAGTTAAATATATTATGCCCTGCTGTGGTCTTTAAGTTCTTTTGCAACAAAAAAATTGCTCTATTTTTCTGTAGACAAAAATGAGTGAAAACTAATCTGGCAATTTATAAGGGGTGCCTTGAATCTAAAAAGGCTGAGAACCACTGCTTAAGTGGGATCTGCCTGCTTAAATGTTTGTTTATTTCATATCCTACTTTATAGTGTCATTGTTTCATAAGTAACGTCAGATATTTTCATGATTTTTGTCTGGCTGTAGTGACAGCTTTATATCAAAGTCATGATTCTTTCTAGTGTATGAATCTGACTCTCACTTTTTTTAGTAAAACAGAAGATGCTGCCTCAGATTCTGTGGAAGCTGCTAAAAATACAAGCGACAAAAAAGGTAAAGTGTAAAAAGTAACTATGCGGAATTCTGCTGAGGGTGGTAAGCATTCTGTGTCTTGTGCTGAAACTTATAAATATTTTTTAGTTTAATATTAATATCTGAAATTGCATACGTATACTTCCTGGGCTGAGGGACATTTGCCAGTTGAACTTGCGTCAGGTTCTTTTATTTGCTCATGGCACTCTCGCAAATAAGTTCTGGTTCAACACTTTTTCATTTTTAGTGTGGTCAGCAGCAAAGGCTTTAGAGTTGAGAGGAAAGCAGCTAATTCAGTTTTGTTTAATTGTGAAAATAATTAGAGAACATTATTAAATGGTCAATTTTTTTGTGTATCTGTTTTTTTTAAAGTTGAGATTTTAAGCATGCATGAAGTGCCTTTGCCAGATAATATCTTTTGGTGAAGTTGCAAAGGGCCTCTGGCTGAATATAAATTTCAGCTATATAAATTTCAGATTAAAGTAGTCTGTGTCATATGTCAACGCAAGGGGCTGTGTTCTGGTTGCATAGACAACCTGAATTCTCACATTGCCAAACTTGGCTGCTTGACTTTTGTGATCTTAATGTTCTTTTTGACGTACTGTATTTACTCAAATCCAAGATTATTTTGAATTTAAGATGACCCTGCCCAATTTTTTATATACAATTAAAAAATTTTATATATGAAAACATTTTCCATATATAGAATTTTTGAATTAGTGGAAGCTTGTCTTTAAATTGCTTCCCCTCCTTCCCTCACTGCTATGGCAGGGAAAGCAGCAGTGGTGGGGGGCAGGCCAGACCCTTCTCTTGTCCCTTGCTGCCTGTCTCTGTCTCTCACACTGTGATCCCTCCCATTACCTTCTGCTTCAGCTCTGTTCCTGATTGGGGCACTCAGCATCAGTAGTGACCATGCTTAGCCCAGCCAGAGAGAAGTGGTTGGCAGTTCCTGGCTAGGCCAGGTCAGGGCTTGAGGGACAGGAACTGGAGCCGGAGCAGAAAGTAAGGTGGGAGAGGCCAGCTGGGTGGTGGGGGGGCAGGGCTGGCTGTGGGGGCGGGGAAGGCAAAAGGTGAAGTAGCAGGCTGCAATCTCCCCTCCATTCCCCTCATCTGCATATCCGTTCCTTTCCAGCTGAGCCATTCCAGCTTGGAGCAGGCAGTGGCTCAGCTCTAGCTTCAGCCTAGGGTCAAAGCTGAGTTGCTTCCTGCCCCAGGGTGGTACTCGGATACAAGATATGGCACTCTTTCTGTCCTCACAGGCTGATTTTAGGGAGGGGGAGAAGGGGCATTGTGTTGGATTTGAGTAAATAAGATGTATTTTTTTTAAAATAATATAAATACAATGATGCACCCTTAATCATTAATAAATACACCCTTAAGGGTGGAAAAGATTTTTACATGTAGTTTTCTACTAAGATCATCTTGCTATTGGCCGTGCTAGTGATCTTTTCTCCTCCCTCCCTCCCTGCCCAGTTTATGGATGGCTTAAGAGCTGGGGCTAATGTGGCAATTGGGATGCTTTAGTTGCCAGCTGGGACTCCAGGGAGAAATGGTGAATTCATTGATGCCATATTCGAGCTGTGAGCCTTAGTGACAAGGTTTGAACAGGAATCCCAAGTGGAAGATTCACTTGGTATCCTTGTACACTTTTTTTTTTTTCCTTATCCATTCATCTGCTCATTTGTCTTGCTTCTGTGTTTAAAAAATGAGCCAGTACTGCTGCTGCTAACAGTTCAGTAATAAAATGACTAGTTACAATTCAAAAGTTAAACAAAAATGCTTAGTGGCCACGTGTGTATGAGACACTGACTGTGCAGTTGTTACTGCGCAGTCATTTGGTGCTTGGATAAACAAGTACTAAATGACTTGCACAATAACCTGCCTTACTTCATGGTAGTGCCCGATGAATGGCTTTTTTGTGATGCCGACTGTGCAGTAGCCTGAGAACTGCGCGGTAGCATCGCATTAGTTTCTGCCACATGATGCTACAGTGCAGTAGTCTTGAGCTACTGTGCGGTCAGTGTCCTGTGTGGACGTGTGCAGTCAGTACCAAAAATAAAAATCTGTAATAGAGCATCACCTTGCTCCAAATATATTCAGATTTTATTGCATGTCCCTTTGTAGAAAAGCTAGCAGATCAGGTGATGCAAAATCCACAAGTCCTGGCAGCTCTTCAAGAGCGACTTGATAACACATCTCACACTCCTTCAAGCTATATTGAAACGTAAGTACTGAGCATGCTAATAATACAAGAAAAAAATTAGAAGGCTGACTCTTTAGGTGAGATAAAGGGGAAGAGAGATGGCTGAGAAAGGAATATTGCCTCTGTAATGTGCAGTGCAAAGGTTGTTTTTGGATATGATGTCCCAACCAAAAGAATATAGTTGGTTTAATTTAGTATTTGGTTCTTTAACTGCACATGGTTTGATACCTTATCAAACTTAATTGGGTTTCCAATCACTTATCTGACAGTGCAGCTATCCTTCTGCTTCCTTCCCCATCAGGATGTATGCTCTTTCTAGGGCCACGAAGCTGGATAGAGTGAAGGTTTCAACTCCTTTTGAAATTTATTCACCTCTAATATTCTTTTCTTGTTCAGTCTACTTCAGGGTTTGCTTTGAAACCAACTCAGTTGGTTCTAACAAGCTTTGGAAGGCTTGATTTGTATTAGATTTGGGCCTTGGGGTTTTTTTAGTTTGGCGTTCACAATTGGATATCTCTGTTTTGCAGGCTTTTGCTTATTTTACGGAGGAGGATACCAGCTATTTTATATAAACTTCTAACAGTTGAAAGTTAATGATGGCAGTGTGTGTGCGTGCAATTTTGTCTATATATTTCTTTTCACTACAAAATGCACCATTTTCTTTTCCATAGACGAGTTAACTCTTGTTGTATAAACAAAGATATTAATTTCAGCTCTTTTGAAATACAGGGGAGGGAATGGAATGGAAGATAACATCTTTGAGGAAAACATGGGTAGGAAAAGATTCTTTTCAGACATCTAAATGGGTTTTGAAGAAATGTGCATGGCTTCTATTAGCACACCAAACCTCTGTGTGATTAACACCAGGGTAATTCACAGTGAATATCTGATGGTGGTGAAATAGTTAACCTTTTAGACTTAGAATTGTTTGTTTCCAGTTTACCAAAAGCAGTGAAAAGAAGAATTGATGCCTTGAAACAGCTCCAGGTGCAATGTGCCCATATAGAAGCTAAATTCTATGAAGAAGTTCATGATTTAGAGAGAAAATATGCAGCCCTGTACGAGCCTCTCTTTGATAAGGTAGGAAGACTCTAAATCTTTTGCTCACTATTTCTGTCTGTAGTTTTGATTTTAATCTTTATTTTGTACCTTTCCCTCTAATTTTGCCTGTGGCAATGAAGAGTAGTGGAGGCCAACCTTTTTGGCAGATGTGCCACAAATTAGCCTCCCACCCTCTCTGAGTACTGATCTGATCCCTTTTCCCTGCCTGATGTGCTGCTCTGCTCCCTGCTTTCTGCCCTATCTACCACCAGTCTGCCATGTGCCACATAGAGGTTGCCCATGTCATGGTGCCTGTGCTGCAGGTTAGCCACTCTTGGTCTAGAGAATCTAGACTGTTCATCCAAACTCTAGTTTCTCTGTGGCTTTTTTTCTCACAGTCTAAGGCAGGAGTGGGCAAAATACAGCTTTGCCCTTATGCTTCTGGCTGCTGCTGTGAGTGTTGCTGCTGCCAGGCCTGGTCCTGCTGCCTCATCACCCCTGCCCTGCACCCACTGCCAGGGGTGCTGGATGGTGTGGGCACGTGTGGTCTCTTGGCAGACTGGCCCCAGATCCCCGTGGGTACGGTGTGCTCGGCCAGGTAGATGGTAGCACTGTGCGAAACGACTGTTTTGATTTGGTTTTGGATTCAGCTGTTTCAGAGGACACCGCTTTTCATTTTGGATCACTGTTGTTTCATTTTGGCTGAATCTGTTTCAGAGGTTAGGCTCTGCCAAACCTTCTCCATATTGTTTCAAACGGGCTGCAAGGGAAGCTTCACACAGTCCTACTGCCCAGCCCCAGTGGGGAGCAGGATAGGGCTGTGGGTGGCTCGTCCGGGGGAGGGGAAGGGCCTTTCCTCTGTGCAGGCGAGGAGACCCCCATGTGAATCTCTGATTCCTGTCACGCTGGGTCGTGGGGTGGGCAAGCAGTGCAGAGCGGTGAGCAAGCCTGCAGGTCCCTGCCGCTTGACTCGCCTCTGCAGGGGCAGAGATCCGCGATGGGGGTCTCCTCGCTGCTGCTGCCCATCCTGCACTGCTCCGGTGACGTGGGGCTGTGCAGGGTGGGCAGCAGCAACAAGAAGACCCCTGGCGGGGATTTCTGCTCCCTGCAGAGCCCGGTCACACGGCAGGGCAGTGCTGGTCCCTGCTGCGTGACCTGGCTCTGCAGGGAGCAGAGATCTGCACTGGGGGTCTCCTTGCCACCACCACCTGCCCCATGAAGCCCTGGGTCACTGGGGCAGTGTGGGGTGGGCAGTGGCAGCAAGGAGACCCCTGCTGCGGATCTCTGCTCCCTGCGGAGTGGAGTCACACGGCAGGGCAGCGGGGTACAGCTGTTTCCCCGCAAATCCGGCTCCAAAACTGAAATTTCTGAAACATTTTGGACGCCTCGTTTCATTTCGGAGATATTTCTGAGTCTTCCGCTTTTGATTTGGATTCAGTGTTTCAGGTGCTGAAATGGCCTGAAATGAAACGGCTGCTGAAATTCCACACAGCCCTAGTGGATGGGATGAGGCTATGGGTAGGTGGGGAACTGTGTCCAGGAGCCAGGTGGGTGGTCAGGGCAATGACAGCTCAGGGCTGGGGCTGTAGTCTACTCCTTGCCCATACCTTGTGATGGGTGTGGGTTCCACAGTGTAAACAGCTGTAAGGGGGGGAAGGGCTGAGGCCTGGTCAGCACTCTGCCCTCTCCCCCTGCCCTCAACAGCATGCCAAAACTCTGTAAGTGGCCCTCCAGCCCAAATAATTGCCCACCCCTGGTCTAAGGTTACAGACAGGAACAACTACACCATCAAACAAAAATAACTAGCCAGAGTTTTTTATATTGAAAATATCATTTCTGTCAGACAGACATCTATAGAGCTATTGGAGTAATCGGATTTTAACATCAGGAATACATACTGTATTCAGTGGTTCAAACTGATTTCATATTTTACATTTTCACTTCTACAACAATCCTCAGATTTTAAAGGTACGTATTTGTTTTTAAAAATTGAGTGAGTTACATTGCTTCTTTAGTTGGTCACAGAGCAGTTGTTGGAGAGTGGTGTGAAATGCCCCCTTTTTTTCTTTTTCCCTTTTAAAGCACTAAGTACTACAAAACTGGAGGTCATTTTGCCTGTTTATGGGAAGTATTAATGTGATAGTATACTAGCTAATCTTATAACCTTTATTAGGTTATTGAATGGATACAATTATTTGAGCACTAGTCAGTTGGTCAAGTCTTCTGTAGGGTGTGGTACACACACAGGCTAATAAAATACCCTGTTTTAAAAAAGGAAAAATGCAAACAAAAACAAAGGAAACCCCCCAAAAGGCCATATTTCACAACATAGTGAAAAAGGGGCTACATGGATAATCCTTCTAATTCCCAAAAGATTTCTTACTGGTGTGAAAGAAGATAGTGGGCAGAGTTTTTGAACTACATTACATGGTGAAGTTCAGCAACTGGTCAAGTTCCTAGTTGCTGTATTTTAGTGTTTCTAAAAACATTAACATATGACAGTGTTAAGAAATTTAAATTTATTCTTGTTTTATGTTTAAAAAAAAGTAGGAAAAGAGATCCTTTTCCTTTCTGGAAGGTACTAATGTTATAAGGTATAAACTAAACTACATGAAGGAGGCAAACGTTATTAACACAATAATTCCTCTTTTTTATGTATTGACTTTTCTTTAGCTAATCAAATTGCATTTTTTTGCAAAATTTGGGCTTTAAGAATGATAACCAAACTGCATTTAGATCACTGAGCCCCCCTGTTACCCTACCTCAACTGTGCACCCCAGGATTTGGCTCTGGGGGCCAGCACTGCCCTCACATCCCAGATTTTGGCCCTTGGGCCACACACTGCCCTTGCCCAGCCCTGGACACTGATAATTGTCTACAGAAATCTTTTCTTTTTGCTGTAATTCCTTGACCGTCAGGGCTACAATATCGCTCTGATACTATGTAATTGAGAGAGGTGATTATAGACTGACTTATTTTTACTGACTGTATTAAATACTTATGCGTTGGACTTAACAGCCATCAAAGAACTCATCGCTGTGTGCACCATGCTCTGTAAGGAGCAACAGTGCTAATTGAATTAAACATATGTTAATTTGTGGCCTGCTATGAACAATGATCTTGTATTGTTTGAAACTGACTAGTAAAAAAGTCCTGTTTCTAACATTGTCCTATAGATATGTCCAAATAATTGGGTGTATTGTTGGTTGCACTGCTAGAATCTGATCCAGGGAGAACTGTACCACTGAGTTACTCTGGTTGCAGAAAACTGGGATGGTGATCTTGAATCAATTCTGTTTCCTGCTTGTGAAGGGATTAGTCCTGGGGATCTGTGGCTGGGTTTCATCCCTTAGGTTTGTTACAGCTTAGCCTTTATGTTGTTCTGCTGTTGCTAACCTAGACTTAGCAGTTACTCTGGTGCAAAGGTGAACTTTTTATTCCCACTCTGCTCTGCATAAGGGATTTGACTCTCAAACTGCTCTCCTGTTGTAGAAAGGCCTTCTTAGCAAAAGAGTTCTACAGGGACAGGAACAGCAAAACTGTTAGATAGTATTACATATATGTTCAAAGTAAGCAAACCATAAACTTATCAGAAATATCAGGGATAACTGTTGTGGGTTTTTTAGCTGTAATTGTTATTTGCAGTTATCTGAAAGCTTAGAGCTCATTTTCTTTTATTCTTACTTTTAAATGTGTAAATAACTTTAGTTGTGCTCTGTTTTATGAAGCTTACTCTTTAATGCAGGGTTGTCAAACATGGCTCACAGGCTTGATCTTCACTGTGGAGCTGTGACCTGGACCAACCCCCTGTGCTAGCCCTGGGCAGACAAGCTGCATGCAGTGTGAGGGTTGGATCCCATACTGCAGGCAGCACAGTGTGTTGGTCCAGGGTACCA